AAAGGAACAAAACTGGATAACCCTATACCTGATGAAAATGAAACATAACCTTTTGGATGATACCAAAATGCTAAGATCCATTTCCTTGGGTCCTGAGATTGCATGTATTCACGAGGAAAGCAACAGATGGGAAAAAAAAAAAAATACAAGCTAGAAAACACCTGTGTGTAATTAAAAATTAGGGTTAGGAATGCTATCTGAAAGACCAGAAAAACAGCGCTGATGGTTTAAAAAGAAGATCACCAGAATTGGTTCCTAGAAATAACTAAATTCTTTTAATTCAACCATAAAGCTGCCAAATTAATGATCCTACAATGTAAGTCTGAGCATGTCACTCCTCTGTTAAAAAAAAAATTATCAGTGGTTCCCTATGGTTTCTGGAATAAAATATAATCACTGTGGTCTGGCAGTCCATTCCCCTATTTCCAGGCAAGACTTTAAAATCTGAAAGGCATTCTAAAATGTTTCTAAATCGCACGTTCTAGTGTCTCATGAGATTTGGTGTTAGAAGTTCTTCCTAATGTCTAGCCCAATTCTCTTCTAATTTGATTTTTAATCTATTTCCTTTTAAGCTGTCCTTGGTGGAAACAAAATGGCAGCACAGGATTTCTTTTTATAAATAAAGTCTCTGAGTAAGCTGTTCTCATCTCCAGACTAAATAACCCCAATTCCTCGAATCTTCCCCATACATCTTATTTTTCCACTTTTAAATCAAAGAATAGAACTGACAGTTCAACCCAAAGGAGTACCTTCTTTCTATAACTAGGACATCACAATCACACCTCTAATACAATCATAGCTCTAATCCCTTCCTCTTTCTTATCTCCTTCAGAGTAACTCTTAACACTTCTTGTCTTACCAAAAGTGGAGATTTGAATCTCCCCAGACAATCATTTAAACCTACAAAGTCAGGATTGGGCCAACAGTAAGGGCAAGGTAAGGCATTTTTCTAAAGGCAGGTCAAAGATTTTAAGAGCACCAGCTGAGGTAGACTTACTCCTGGGATTTGTAGAAGAAAATTCAAACGGGTAAGTTGCCCCTTTGCTCAGAGAGAAACTTGCCTTTCACATCATTTGTCTCAAATTCACTGTCTGCGGCTTGTTAACTGGGTTTAATTAAGATCACTTTATTTTGCTTTATGGAGGAAAGAAAGCCTACCTAATCAAATAAACATTGGCGACAGCCAAGTTTCTCCCTCAACACTTGCAAATGAGCATGCCACAATATCTGGAAGGAAAATTTAAAACCTTTTAAAATTCACTCTGATGTGGTGATGACTGTAATACTCAAACTCTGTTGAAGGCAAAGAGCTAAGTATTTCAAAAACATTGAGGATAAAAAGGAATTAAAAAACAACCAACCTGAGGTGCTCAGGAATTTGAACAAGAACCTAGGAACCTGAAAGCAAAGACTTCCCAACTGTGTTCTGTCAATAATTTATTTAACTAGCTAGATGGTGGCTGTGGATAGAGCATTGGGCCTGGAGTCAAGAAGACTTAAATTCAAATTTGGTCCCAGACATTTACTCATTGTTTGACCCTGGGCAAGTCACTTCCTTCCTCTACCTCAGTTTAATCAATTGTAAAATGGGGATGATAATAGAACCTACCTCCAGGGATTGTTGTATGGCTCAAATGAGATAACATTTGGAAGGTGCTTAGTATAGTCTCTGGCACATAGCAAGAGCTATATAAGTGTGAGTTATTATTATTATTATTGTTATTAATTAGTGAGTTGAGCTGAATTGAAATGGCCCATTCTTCTCACTTAGTAATTGAAAGCTACAAGAAAGCATGGTCAAAAGCCTTGGGGAGTGTTAGCCCTCAGACACCAAAGGCGGAATACTCACAGTATACTGAATAGGATTTAAGCACATATTTAATTATCAGTCAATCAGTGATCAATGTCACTAGTATTTTTAGAGTCAGAGCCTCTGTGCCTCAGCTACTACTCTCCTGCCTGTATGTTGGACACTTTAAGGAACTGCATTAATTCTTTCAGAATGTAAAGGTTCTGTTTAATAAGTCACCAAACTTTAGGGGTACCCTAGTGGTTTGCCATAGAAACTGGTTTAGTCAATAGGCAAGTCTGTCACAAAAATAATAATTCATGATTCTGAATATGAAAGTGAGACAACCTACCAGTCTGGATAGAAGAGTCATACCAAATGCTTAATGTCTCTCCCTACGGGTTATACATGTGCACATGCACTCATGCCATGTACCCAGATGCAAATAAACCATAGACCTATATACTGAGATAAACATAGAGATTTTGCTCCCCTCTACTAACAAAGAAACAGGTGCAGTTCAGCAAATTCTAGTCATGAGAGTTACCTGGAACACGAATAGGTTAAGTGACTTCTGCCTGGTCTTATAGACAGGAGGTGCCACAGGCAAAATTGGAAAGCACTTCTTTCTAACTCTAACTCTAGCTTTCCATTTGCTATACCACACTGCCCCTAACGTTATATTATATAAGAGGCATCTAAGAGGCACAGTGGATAGAGAGCTAGACATGGAATCAGGAAGATATGATTTCAAATCTAATCTCAGATAAACTACTTCTTAGCTTAGTGACCTTAAGCAAGTCACTTAAACTCTGCCTCAGTTTCCTCTTCTTAACATAACAAGCCCCTACTTCCCACTGTTGTTGCGAGGATAAATAATATTTCTAAAGTGCTTTGCAAACATTAAAACATTATGTAAATACCAGTTATTGTTATTATTCTATGCATCCTAACAACAGGATTACAGGCATACAGAAAATATCTAAGATATCTAGTTTAGCCTCTTCATTTTATAGATGAGGAAAACAAGACTCAGAGTGGTTAGTGGACATGTCCACAATCACAAAGGTAGGTAAGTAGCAGAATCAAGATTCAGCCCCAGGTCCTCTGACTCCAAATCTAGGGTTCTTTCTGCTATACCACTCTGTGAAGTATAAATGGGGAAGGAGAGAAATAAATGGAACCCCAAGGAAGACACCTTAAGAGCTTCTAAGTCATGTCCAACTCTCCATGATCTCATTTGGGGTTTTCTTGGCAAGGATACTGGAGTGGTTTGCAACTTCCTTCTCCAGCTCATTTTACAGATGAGGAAACTGAGGCAAACAGGGTTAAGCTGCCCAGGGTCACACAGCTAGTAAGAGTCTAAAGCCAGATTTTTGAGGAAGACTTATCTTCCTGACTCTAGGCTTGGCATTCTAGTCACTGCATCACTTAGCTGCTCAGAGTTAACCAGAATTTGTATTGTGTTAGCAAATAGTAGCAAACAAATGTCCCTGGGGCACTAAGGCACTAACACATTTTCTTCAATTCTTCCCTTCACCACCACTTCCCTGGTCCCTGAGCAACCCTACAAAGGACCAAGGCAAACTTTACTACTGACTTGCTAGGTGCTGAGGTCTTCAAAGACACATGCTAATTGTGCCTACTGGATATTTCAGCACTTTTAGGAAAGAATGTGGGCAGGTCAACTAACCAATCTGTCTGGGCCTTCTTTTCTTCATCTATGAACTACATGATGTCCTAGATATTTTCCATTTGCCTATAATCCTACTATTAAAATGCATACAATAATAATAATGGCATTTAAATAGTGTTTTAATGTCTGCAAAGCACTTTACAAATATTATCTTACTTATCCTCACAATAAGAAGATACTAACAGAATGGTAGATGATTATCTCCTCAAAAAGACTGTTAATAAAATGAAGACAACTCAGGTGTACATTAACTAGTGACATAACTATAGGTTGATTCATTTTGATTTTCTTACCTGCCATCAGTGAAATTACAGGGAGAAGTAAGTTACATTTCCCAAATCAATGTGCCTCAGGGAACCAGAAGCTAGTCTAGTCACCTTGGAACCAAGTATTTCCTAGTTCACACAGAAGGCTACAGAAGCAGTTTCTACAGCAGAAAGAACCATCCAACCCTTTAAAAAGCAACAGTCCTCATCCCTCAATCTGAAGTCAGAATTAGTCACTGAGGACATTCCTTTCACAGAACTTTAAATCAAGGATTTCTTCAGGCAAAAAGCACCAGCCAAGAGCTTAAGGGAACAGGGTGGGGTGAATGGCTAAAAACAACCAAGAATTCAAATTCTTTACCTGTTTAACAATGGTGAAATGGTGAAACATACCCTAGGTTCATACCTGTGGACGCCTCAAACCCTGCACCCTTAGACCAAAAGTCTTCATGGAATCAGAGAAAATGAGAGGTAAGAATCATTCATAGTATTATAAACACAGTCCACTTCTAATTCTGACAGCAACCTTACAATAATGATGATAATAATAAAATATCTAAGGCTAAAGTTCACAAAGCCCTTTACACATATTATTCCATTTCACTGTTATAATCACCCTGGGATTTAAGTACTGGATTGTACCATCTCCATTTTATAGATCAGGTAACTGAGGCTCAGCAAAGTTAAGTGATTTGCCTATAGCCACACAACTAGCAAGTGTCAGAGACAGGATTTGAATGTGTTTGCCTTCTAATTCCAATACCCTTGCCCTTATGTCATAGTGCCTCTCTCTACCTTAAGAAATAAGAATTCAGTTTCTCCCCAATATGAGGTTGCTGGCAAAGGGGGAGCCTAAATTTGCTTGAGAATGTGCTTAAAAATTTGTGCAAAACTACAGATTAACAGACTATGAATTTCCATCACCTCTATAGAAAATTAGGTTTCAACCTGGCTACCCATACATGCCACACACATAATTTTAAAAGACCAAAACCAAATCTCAATTACCCTCATGAAAAAGAATGGTTCTACTGTCCCATGCCTGGGAATCCTTCCCAGCTCTATGTAAATATGGCGCAAATGTTCACTTACTTCCCATGGTCAACAACAATTTTCCCCAGGTAGGTGAGTGTTTGCAAAAACATCCAAGAACCTTTGTAAAGAGAGCTATACAAGGAAGCAATGGGCATGTACATCCTTTGGCAATAAACAAGTCTATCTCCATGCTGACATTCAGCTCAATACTTACTGATCATGCCTGGTGTCAGGTATGTTTCTGTCCATTCGCAACTTGTCACTTTCCACTTGGTTGAATTTGTTACGGGCATATGGGTCTTGACCAGATCGTACCATAGTGACTCCAATGTAAGCTTCCTGATTGAAGTCTTGCCACCGAACCTTCCCTACAAGATAGCAGAGCAAGGAGTGGGGAGAAAGCAAAGGTTAAATAAAGCTTCTCAAAACAGAGATTACTAAAGCAATGTTTTTGCCTAAGGAATCACATCCAGGATTTCTTATTAACATCATGCTTTCATTCAAAGTAGAATATCATATATAACTATATATAATATATACATATGTGTGTGCGAATGAAACAAAACAGAAAACATCCCAGCAGAAGCATGTATCCATCAGTACAAAACTGCATAGATGGGTATGTCAGGGAAAACTGAATAGCAACAATTTCTAAACTAAAACTATATTACCAGGCTTAAGGTCTACACAATTTCACACTATTTCTGCCCCATACAAAGGACAGTGTAGGGGCATGGCACAGAGCAGTGGATAAAGAGCCAGCTAAAGAACTGGAAGATCTGGTCTCAAGTCTATCGATGTAACCCCACGCAAGTTACTTGACCTCTCAATGCTCTCAATTTAAGAGCATTGCTCTCAAGACTATAATTCTCAGGGAAGATGACAATCTGCATTGGTAGAGGTAGTTCCCTATACCAGTGAAATTACAGGTCCAGTCCTGATGCAGGCCCTTATCCCCTACTATTGTTAACAGTCTGCTGGTTGGCCTTCTCTCCCTGCTCTAGCCCATTCTCTACTCAGCCATCAAAGTGGTCTTCTTAAAGTGAAGGTCTGACCATGTCAGCCCCCTGTGTAACAAACACCAGGTTCGCTATCACCTCCAAGACCAAATCCTGTTTGGCATCCAAAATTCTTCATAACCTGCTCCCTACAACCTCATCTTTCCAGTCTTATACCTTACACTTTCCAATGGCTCCAGGCATATTCACTGGCTGTCCCCTCATATCTGGAATGTTCTCCCCTCATCTTTGTCCCCCGGCTTCCTTCAAGTCCCTGCTAAACTCTCACCTTCTACAGGAAACCTTTCCCTATATTTCTTAATTCTAGTGCCTTTGTCGATTATTTCCAATTTATCCAATATATCTTGTTTATACATGGCTGTTTGCACTTTCTCTCTCCCCATTAGACTGTGAGCTCCTTGGAAGCAGGGATTGTCCAATGGCTTTCTTTTTATCTCTAGTGCTTAGAATAATGCCTGACACATAGTAGGCAGTTAATAAATGTTTACTGACAATGTTGTAAAGGTTGTGGGATGACAGTTATACTAATTATACACTGCTGGTGGAGCTGTAAAAAGGTACAACCATTTTGGAAAGCAATTTGCACTTATGCAAATAAAATGACTAAAATGTCCATACTCTTTGAACTAAAGACTTAGTTACTGAACTTATACTCTATGGAAGCACTGATAGAAAAACCTGGGAAGTTTTATATGAACTGATTCAAAATGAAGCAAGCAGAATCAGGCTAGCATTGTACAGAGAAACAGCAATATTGTAACCATGATCAATTGTGAAAAACTTAGCTACTCTAATCAAGACAATGATCCAAGACAATTCCAAAGGACCCATGATGAAAAATGCGATTCATCTCCTGAGTGATGAACCCTGAGTTCAGATTGAAACATACTTTTTTTACTTTCTATATTTTTCTTGTCTTATGTATGCATGTGTGTTTCTTTCACAACATGGCTAATATGGAAATGTTTTGCATGACTTCATAAATGTAATCAGTATCATACTGCTTGTCTTCTCAAGGAGTGGAGGAAGGGTGTGAGGAGGGAGAGTAAACATTTAAAACTGGAAAATTTTTAAAATGAATATTAAATTTTTTAAAAATCTAATTGGGAAATATTTAATGAAATAATTTCTTTTAAGAAAGGAAGTCACTGATAAGAAGAAAGTTCCCACATATATCCCAAAATATCTGTAGCAGCATTTTTTGTGATATACAAAGAAATGCAAATAAAGTAGATGCCTATCAATTGGGGAATGGCTAAACAAATAGTGGTACATGAATGCAATGGGGCATTACTGTGCTATAAGAAATGATGAATATAGAGAAGCTTGGAAAGATCTACATGAACTGATGCAGAGTGAAGCAAGCAAACCAAGAAAATAATATACACAACGACAACAACAGTGTAAGTAAAAACAACAACAATATACACAAAATCAAAAGCGAATATAGAAAAACTATAAAGATCAAGCAAGACTCGGATGAAGAGTTGTGAGAGGGCACAAAGGAGGTGGGAGCTGCACAGAAAACACTGCAAATGTTTTCTGACTTTCCAATGCATTCTTCCGTTGTGCTGATTTTTCCTCCTCTTTTCCTTTCTTTTCTTGTCTTTAAAAAATATTTTCTCCCATTCTATTTATGCAATAGCTTGATGGGAGGGGAAATGGAAGGGATTCTGAGGAAAAGTACAATGGTACAAAAAACAAAGGACATCACAAAGAAAGGACATCGTTATAACAAATGTTAATTGATTGCTAATGTCTTCCCTCCATTGATTTTATATAATCTATCCTGTATATATCTTGTTTGCACATATTTGCATACATGCTGCCTCTTCTATTAGACTGTGAGTTCCTAGAGGGCAAAGACTGTTTTTTACCTTTCTTTCCCATCTCTAAGGCTTAGCACAGAGCCTGGGACATAGCAGACGCTTACTAAGTATCAGCTGACTAACAATCCCTTATCTCTAGTCTCAAAAGAACATTAATAGTATCTGTCCCATGCCACATTTCCAAAGATTATAAAAACACCAAATAATTTTTAAATCATGAAAGGTATAACTTTTAAAAAAAAGATAAGCAAAAAGCATTATTAGATTGTATGAGAAAAATATCCGAGTTCAAAAGTAATTATTCTATCATAGAAATAAATTCTCAAAGAATATTGTGGTGCTGAAATCATACTACCATGAGAGCACATTCAATAAGATATTTCTTTTGGTTTTCTTTGTAACATAGAGGACAGAGGCCTGGCTATGGAGGCAGGAAGATATGTTTGAATCTGTCCTCAGCTACCACTAGCTGCACAACTCTGAGCAAGTCAATTAACCTCCACTTTCCTCAGCTATAAAAGGGGGATCACCGTACCTGTGACACTTACCTCCCAGGGTCATGAGGATTAAATGAGACAGCACTTTGCAAGCCCTAAAGTGCAAGATACATGTCAACTCTTATTATTAACATTCCCTGGGCTTGCTGAATACCTGATGATGATGATGATGATGATAATAATAATAATAATAATAATAGCTAACATTTATATAGCACATTACAATGTACCAGGCACTGTTATAAGCACTTCACAATTATAATCTCATTTTGATCCGCATTAACAACTGTGGGAGGTAATGCTATTATTATCGTCGCTTTACAGATGAGGAAACTCAAGCTGTCTAGGATCACATAGCTATTAAGTTCCTGGTGGAGGATTTGAACTCATGTCTTCCTGACTCTAGAAAGTTCTCTACCTACTATGCAACCTAGACACCCAATGAGGAGAGAGAGTCAATGAATCCCACTGTAGCTGACTGCATAAGAAAAGGAACTAAAGTGACTGACCAGAAGCACTCAAGATTTTCACCCCTTTGTTATACCATGAGACCACTTATATCATTCCAGAGTGGGAGGTAACCTACCTCTATGATTTGAGAAATATCATAAATATGTATCTACTCTAAATTCTCTTCCCTTACTCCACTATAGAAATTTCTACCATCAGTTTAGAAGCACTGCCCCAGTGTTGTAGTAGGGTGTTAATAAATTGTTCATGTAATTTCCTCTGTCTCACTTTGCGTTTTTACAAAAGTTGGACTTGAAAAACTGAATGACATTGATTGTATAAAAAAGTTATTGAAGCCCACAGCAGGTCATGAGTTAAAACATTACCATGGAAGACAGGAGAAAGCCAAGGACAGGTCTGGCTCTCTCACACTTACTCTAGTCTTAATACAATTAGTTACCTGTCATATATGCAGGGCCTGAGCAAAAAGGGACATAGAACAGGTGAGAGTAAGGAGCAGAGAAGGGGCAAAGGGAAGGGGATGTGTGGAGAAGGAATTCCAGATGATAGGATTAGGAGGGATACTGAGGAAGCCATAAAGCCAAGGGATATCTGGATTAAGAAAAAAGAGAATGAGGTAGGAAGGGGGGGGGAAGCAAAGATGGAAGGGAAGAAGAGATATATAAGCCCTAAAGACTGGACTGTGAACTCTTTAGCACAGGGGCCATATGTCATCTATCTTTATATATCCTTATATATCTCACAGCATCTAGTACAGTAGAATACTTATGCTGAGAACTAAATGTCTCTTGAAGAAAAAAACATAGCAATTTAACTTAGGGCAGGCCCACACTGTATCTCTGTTTCAGCTGGGGAAGGTTCTTTTACATCCAAAGCATGCACTCTTCATTCTCAAGGGCTTGTTATAAGCTATCCCACATTTCCAGGGTATGTCCCTTCTTTTATTGCCTTAAATCTTAAAAACAAAACAAAACAAAACAAAAAAACCCCAACCAAACCCTCTTCCACTAAGTTTTTTCCAGTTTAGTAGGGCTTGACCTTAAATATATTATTTTTAGTACTATCCCTCTAATTTATCATCCTATCTATTCCACTGTTGCCAAAACATAATTGTAGTTACTACTACATGCACAATGTTCTAGGTTCTACACTGTATTTATATAATGCATTTATGTAGCATTAAAGTCAATATTCCGGCTAATATCAGCACTAGCTAACTAAATTTGACATTATCTGTCTTATGTGGACACTTTTAAAGAACAAAAAGTAAGACTCACAAACGATGCAATTAAATACCAATTACTTCTATTTAATAATGCCAATTTCTTGAGAATGATGCTATAAATTTTGGATTGCTCTAAGACCATCTCTCTAGAGCTAAACTATAATAACAGTTGGCTACTGTTGACATCAGCCAGAATTTTGATTTTAAGGGAAACTTGTGTTATGCATATGTTTACATTAAATACTATATTTTCTCCTATTTATGACAGCCCATTAACACATCATAAGCTCCCATATATTAAACACTTAATAAATACTGGTGGTTGGT